AGAAGCTCACAATGCCTTTTGGTCTAAGACAAATTTGACGTCCGTCTTTATTAACATTTCAGAGGCGATCTTTTATCCTCGACACTCGATGTCGGCATCATTGCGAGAATCGTTCATACTATTTCTGAAATGGCGAAAGTTCCTATTGTTGTACCTTTTACTAGCTTTAGAGAGGTGGATAGATACAGTTTGTAAATTGGCGTCATCGAAAACCAAAGGAGGATTGCATATGGGCAGTTAAGACTGCTGATTCGTGCGAATGAGTGCATAGCACACAATCCTGCGACTTAGATCCATCCTTGCTCAGCTTTAGTCTGTCTCATCGAGACAAACATCGCCACGGCATGAGGTCAACAATAATAAAATTTCATCAAAATCCTAAGCCAATGAAGATGGCCAGCTGCAATTCCACTTACTTCTTGTATCCAGGTTTACGATTTAAATGAGACAGCGCGTTATTCGGCTATTAACCTGGTACTTACTTCAGGTGAGGCTGATGCAGGAAAAGCAAGTGGATGTAAAGCATAACTGTCTTCTTAAACAAACAAACAAGCTTTTGATATGAAGACTTTCATTTCGTATGGAAGTCTTCACCTCAATCATATCTCAGGAGATTCTTCGAAAGCAGCATTTTCTTTATATAAACAAACTAGTCTTTGATTATGAAATTTTGACGTATGTTTAGATATGTGCATATAATGCCCGCGAGACAGAGGAGAAGACAAAGCCCAAACCAGATATTAGGTGAATAAAATCTCTACCTACTACGTGGTGGTTACTAAGTTAATGGCTAGATATATGAATGAACAGATAATTGAGTTTTCCAGCACTCAAATGAATAGGCCTCAATATGCCATTGAAGTTCACCTAGTTATGCTTTCCAAAGGGCTGGACTGGAATTTCGTCTTCGCCTATGTTTCATCAGCAATCCGAAAGAGGTTTGATACCGAGTCGTGAGCGACATTACCACTCCACTATACAGTCAAGGATGCCAGAGTGTAACAGGGAAGTCGTATCATTCAAGTTAAGCCAGGTCTCTTTTAAATCACATTTTTAAAGTGAAATTGTCGACTCAGTAGGTTTGGGGAATAGTATTATTGCTTGAGTAAGAATTTAGTCACCCTAGGTTATTTGAGGTGATTTAGATATGATTAAGCTTTTATTTCGTTTATACATCTCATATAGATGTATACGGATAGTCTCGAAAATATACTCATCAACGAAAAAAAACAATATAATAGAACGATATAGCAAATAAACCTTTGCTTCATCGACAATCCCACCACAGAATGTAATATGGGAAAATGCTTAATCTTCCTTTAAATTCATATCTGCCCTGTGACACAAGGGCACTCGTGGCGGTCTGGGGTAGTGGATAAGATGTCGAGATTATCTACCGCGCTATCGTGGCTCGAGTCCCACTGGAGATGCTGATGCAACCTAGGCGAGGTCGAGACGGCAGTCTATCCTGGATGAGAATACCTTATATGAAGAAAGGCTACGTGAAATTCTATGAAAACCAAAGGTCTTCACATGGCATTTTGAAAAAAATTAAATTATCAGTCCCTGAATCACCGTAAAGTGAATATATCTTATATATATCATATACAAGTAGTCTTGAAAACCTAATTATACGATGTTCAAGTGGCGCAAGTCGCGAGACACCCTCTTTTATTTCGGGTGAAAACTGACTGGGTTTTTGTCCATTCTGCCAATCGAAAGACTCTCTCAGAGCAGTAACTGATTCTTCCAAAAGCATCAAGTTAATAAATTAGACTAAGAAGACTATCCGAGTGCAAGCATGACTTATATTGCGTAATCTCAGACGTCTGGTGGAGCTGAAGTGCTTAATAAAACGGTTGCATCAATATGGTTAAAGCCATCTGTGACTTGAAAAGTAGACCAGATTTGTCTTGGTTGGCAACTCTTCTGATGAGATCGAACAAGGAATTTCTTCATTTTACGCCTCCATATAAAATGCAAAACTCCACGACAGTGTTATATCAAAATATGTAACAAAATCCAGTTACTCTAAGTATATACAAAGGTAGACATAAAAGTAATTAGGATTTCAGCCGACCACATTCCTTGAGTTAGAGCTAGCCCAATTTTTGATAAAGATTAATTTCCCGCTCTGGAAATACTTTTTGAGACGGGACAGCCGAAAGCCCGGCACAGATTCACACAAAGTCAGGTACAAATGTTCAAAGACACTTCTCATGAGACCACCTTACAATACTCGACTACTTAACTTTATAAATGAAATGAGAGACAACAAAATGGATTTAGAATAAAAGCTGTGGTCACGACCTATTGATAGTGAGTTTTCTCACAAGGAGATGAATAGGCCTCAGAATTCCATTATATTTCCCATAGTCATGCTTCCCAAGAGGTATCCTCCTCCCAAATAGACTGGACTGTAGATTTGACCCTGCCTGGATTTCATCACCGCCTCCAACAGGAGTCGAACACAAATAGTGCAGTATTTAAACTTGACATGACACCGTTGCGTCACACTTGCACGAATGCCCTTCGGTCACATGGCGGAAGTGGGTTTCAAAGAAAGCTAGACATCCCATATGCCATATTTTCCTCGTGGGATTTTCGGTGAAGTAAATATGCATTTGCCAGTACAATCCACAACCATACTTGTATTGGCATTCAGGAGGATTTCGAAGTTATTAGTAGACTTTGTATAGTAACTAAGTGAAATTTAATGATATTATGAGGCCTACTCATCTCATTGTGAAAATATTTGCTATCTATCTCGAAATCCTACTCAATACGAAAAAATATAGATTTATTATGAAGTTCTTTGTAATAAATTTTTTTATTTATATGGATACAGTTAACGCGGACACTCATGGGGATAGAAGCTATAAAGTTATAAATGTGAACCGGACATGTTTTGCTCTCCATAAAGAATTTAACAAAAAACCTCACCTAGAATGAATGAGGTAAAAGGGTATTTCATCTAGAATTCGGCTTTGGTAAAAGTGATTCGACGCCAACTAGGCATGGTTGAGCCTTAATTAAAGGCCAGCATTTAGAATGAGAATTGCTATCTTCGTTGCTAAATAAACTTTCGCGAGTAGAAACAGTAGAACCTGCCTTAACACCGGCAACAAGAATGGATGAATGGGTCTTCCAAAACCTAAATCTTGATACGATTCAAGCTCGCGATGAGGATGTCTAAAAAGCACTCAAGAGGACAAAATCTCTCAGATCATAGCAAATCCTCATCATCTTTATCATAATCCTCATCGTTATCCGCATTAGCCTTACTGATTGGGTCATACATATATGCCAAAGGCCAATAAATACTTCAGATTGGTGTCATGTTAGGATCAAGTAAAATCGAAATAATCATCCTGACGACTAGACAAATTTACCAGACAAGTTTGTGAAGAAATAAAAAGCTGATGAATGCTTTAATATGGGCTTACCCAGATTAAGTAAAGCTACATTAACTTGAAATTCTTGATAGATATTTGAGAAAATAAAGAATTTCTTTTAATTAGCCAAATGAAATACATATAAAATAAAAAATTATGAATAAAAGTCGAAATTGTCAGATTGGTCTAGTGAGCTTACTTTTTGCGGCGAGTGACGAGAAGGAGGTCATTAAAAAGGATCAGGTAGACTGAATTGTGCCTTTTACGCCCAAGTTTCTTGAGAACAGACGTAAGGCCCTCTGGAGGTGTCAGAATGCGTAAATCGCCTTCTCGAACTAGTTCCTTGTTGCTTATCGCGATGCACTAAACAAAATAGGATATAATAAAAGTCACTACTTCACTGTCTAAATGAATACAATAAATTTGAATTGTGTCATAGTGAAATACACAGAACACTTGTAAATTATAAAAATCAGGCCCCCAAATGTCTGATGGCCTTATCTTAAAATGAGGAAAATTCTCACTGCCCCATTTGTTTATATAATAATCATTCTCAATTAGAAGCGAGAAACACTCTCGCCTCAAAACAATCTGAATTCGACTGCGAAATACAGGCAAGCTGGAAAACCCCATAGACTTAGGCATGAGAGGCAGCTTGAAAACCAAATAAATCAAAAGCTCGTTCCAACCCCTCCAGGTGACTGATGAGAAGACGAGGCAGGCCCGAAATTATTATCCAGGTTGGAGAGGAGAATGACACTTATGAAAATAATATAAAGTGAAGTACGTTGAGATCATTTCAATAAGGTAACAAATTTAAACGAGTACACTTCTAAAAAAGAACACTTGGCGACACCTTTAAAGAAATGCGAAACATTCATTTACTAGACTAGTGGAGACCCACATGGGTACAACCACTCACTGGAGTAACGAAGGGTGTAAGTATTTCTAAACCGATGGTCACCCATCGACAATCTGGCTCTGTAGAGAGGTTGACTTCACTTTTCTCTTTGGCGAGTTCGTAGCTTGGTGTGGAGAATGGTAAAACTCACTGATGATGCCGACTAGGATGCCGGCGTAACGTTTGAGAATGTGCCAAGTCCACTGTCTAATGCTGGGAATCATGACAACTACTATGACAGACGACTTTGGACTAGGTGCGTTCTACTAAGTCGCCCTGACAACAAGACCAAATTTCGACGAGGTCGACCCACTCCATTTAATGCCAGTGGAAATTTCATTTTGAGGGAAAATTTGGCTGAAGTAAGTTTATAAATTGGCCCGGGGTGAGAAAAGATTAGATGAATGAATAAAGGTGAGATGATGCAAGAATGGATGAAGTAAAATGTGGTAAAGTGAGCTGATGTGAGATGCGATAAGATGACATGAAATGAAATATGATAGAATAAGTTGAGATAAGACTTTTTGTGCGTTTTAACGCAACGCATTTTGGTAAAACAATAGAATAAAATAAATGAAAATATTAGCATCAATTGTAATTGCAATCGCATTTTTGCCTTATCGACAAACGTAGCATAAATATATGTTTTGGAAGAGACCTGACTTATCATATACCTGTGAGCTTTCACAAAAAAACTCTGTGATTTAAAAAGACCGACATTACGCAATTTAAGAGATGAGTAGAAAGTCGCATAAAAC